CACTTGTGTTTCCAAATGAACTTTAGGGTAGATTTTTCAATCTCTGTGATAAAAGTCATCGGGATTTTGATAGGAATTGCATTAAACACGTAGATTGCTTTTGGTAATATAGCTATTTTTACTATGTTGAGTCTACCAATCCATGAGCATGGGAGATTTTTCCATCTTCTGTAGTCTTCCTCGATCTCTTCAGGGGTTTGTAGCTATCCTTGTAGAGGTCATTCACATCCTTTGTTAAGTTTACTCCTAGGTATTTGATTTTTTTTTGAGGCTATTGTAAATGGAATTGTTTCCATATATTCCTTCTCAGTTTGTTCGTTGTTGGTGTATAGAAAAGCTAATAGTCCTTGTAAGTTGATTTTGTATCCTGCCACCTTGCTGTAGCTGTTTATGGTGTCTAGGAGTTTTTGGGTAAAGTTTTTTGGGTCTTTAAGGTACAGGATCATATTGTCTGCAAAAAGGGATATTTTGACAGTTTCTTTACCTATTTGCATTCCTTTTATTTCTTTTTCTTGCCTAATTGCTCTGGCTAGGAATTCCAGTACCATGTTGAATAGCAGTGGGGATAGTGGGCACCCTTGTCTCGTTCCTGGTTTTAGGGGAAATGGTTTCAGTTTTTCACCATTAAGTATGATGTTAGCTACAGGTTTATCATATATAGCCTTTACAATGTTGAGGTACATTCCTTCTATTCCTAGTTTTCTTAGAGCTTTTATCATGAAATGGTGTTGGAACTTGTTGAAGGCCTTTTCTGCATCTGTTGAGATGATCAAGTGGTTTTTGTCTTTACTTCTATTAATGTGCTGTACTACATTTATAGATTTGCGTATGTTGAACCACACCTGAATCCCTGGGATGAAGCCGACTTGGTCATGGTGGATGATCTTTCTGATGTGTTGTTGGATTCAGTTTGCCATTATTTTATTTAGGATTTTTGCATCAATGTTCATTAAGGAAACTGGCCTATAGTTATCCTTTTTGGAGGTGTTTTTGTCTGGTTTTGGAATGAGAGTAATATTGGCTTCATAAAATGAGTTAGGTAGTGTTCCTTCCCTTTCTGTTTTGTGGAACAATTGAAGGAGGGTTGGTATTAGTTCTTCTTTAAACATCTGATAGAATTCAGCATAGAATCCACCAGATCCTGGACTTTTCTTATTTGTGAGACTCTATTGCTGCTTCAGTTTCATTTTGTGTTACAGATCTATTCAGGTGACTAATATCCTCTTGGTTCAGTTTTGGATGGTCATAAGTATCTAGAAGTCTGTCAATTTCTTCAAGATTTTCAAATTTATTGGAATATAGGTTCTCAAAGTAGTCTCTGATGATTTCCTGGATTTCTGTGGTGTTTGTTATCTTCCCTTTTGCATTTCTGATTTTATTGATTTAGCTTTTTTTCTCTCCTCATTTTAGTCAGATTTGCCAGGGGTCTGTCAATCTTGTTTATTTTTTCTAAGAACCAGCTTTTTGTTTCATTGATTCTTTGTATGGTTTTTCTTTGTTTGTTTGTTTCTGTTTCATTGATTTCAGCCCTTATTTTTATTATTTCTGTCCTTCTGCTTGTTTTGGGATTTGTTTGTTCTTGTTTTTCTAGGATTTTGAGATGTAGCATCAGGTCATTGATTTGAGATCTCTCTGACCTTTTAATATATTCACTCATGGCTATAAACTTTCCTCTTAGAAATGCCTTTGCTGTGTCTCATAGGTTCTGGTAGGTCATATTTTCTTTTTCATTAACTTCCAGGAACCTTTTAATTTCCTCTTTTATTTTATCAATGACCCATTGATCATTGAGCAATGTGTTGTTTAGCTTCCAATTGTTTGCATGTTTTTTACTGTTGTTTTTGTTGTTGAGTTCTAGTTTTAATAATTGTGATCAGATAGAATGCATGGGATTATTAATTTGCTGAGGCTTGCTTTGTGCCTTAAGATATGATCAATTTTGGAGATGGTTCCGTGAGCTGCTGAGAAGAATGTATATTGTGCAGAAGTTGGATGAAATATTCTGTAGCCATCAGCTAGGTTCATTTGATCTATGGTGTGATTTAGTTCTAGAATTTCTTTATCGATTTTTTGTTTGGATGACCTATCTATTGATGATAGGGGAGTATTAAGGTCTCCCTCTACCACTGTGTTGGAGTCTATATGTTTTTAGGTCCTGAAGAGTATGTTTGATGAAATTGGGTGCATTGACGTTGGGTGCATATACACTGATAATTGTTACTTCCTTTTGGTGTATTTCCCCTTTAATTAGTATGGAGTGTCCTTCTTTATCTCATTTGATCAATGTAAGTTTGAAGTCTACTGTGTCCAAAATAAGTATTGCTACCCCTGCCTGTTTTCAGGGGCCATTGGCTTGGTAAATCTTCTCCCAGCCTTTCACCCTCAGCCAGTGCTTGTTTCTGTCAATGAGATAGGTCTCCTGTAGGCAGCAGATTGCTGGATCTTCCTTTTTAATCCAGTTTGCCAATCAGTGTCTTTTGATGGTGGAATTAAGTCCATTGACATTCAGTGTTAGTATTGATATGTATGTGGAGATTCCTGTCATTTAGTTGTCTTTGTTGTTTAAGGGTTTGATTGTATCCAACTAATCAGTGTTACTCTCTACTTTCTTGCCTTTTCTTCTCCTGTGATTTGATACTGCCTGACCTTTCACAGTTTTGTTTGCTTTCACTTTCTGTGTGCAGAATTCCTTGAAGAATCTTTTATAGTAGTGGCTTGGTGGTCATATATTGATTTAGTTTCTGCTTATCATGGAAGACTTTTATTGCTCCATCTATTTTGAATGATAGTTTTGTTTAGGTAGAGTATCCTAGGGTTGAAGTTATTTTCATTCAATGCCTGGAAGACCTCACTCCATGCCCTTCTTGCTTTTAAGGTTTCCATTGAGAAACCTTAAAACATACCTTTGTATGTTATTTGTTTTTTCTCTCTTACAGTCTTCAGTATTCTTTCTCTATTCTCTGTGCTTCTTGTTTTAATGATAATATGTCATGGGGTAGTTCTATTTTGGTCAAGTCTGTTTGGTGTCATGGAGGCTTCCTGTACCTGAATGGGCATAGTTTTTTCTAGATTTGGGAAATTTTCTGTTATTATTTTGTTGAATATATTACAAATTCCTTTTGCTTGTACCTCTTCTTCTTCTTCAATGTCCATGATTCTCAGGTCTGGTCTTTTGATGGAGTTGGTGAGTTCTTGCATATTCCTTTCACAGGTTTTGAGTTGTCTGACTAATAGCTCTTCAGTTTTTCCTTTAATTTCCATTTCATCTTCAAGTTCTGAGATTCTGTCTTCTGCTTGTTCTAGTCTTCTGGAGTGGCCTTCCATTTTGTTTTGTACTTCTGTTTCATTCTTTTTTCTGAGGTTTTCCATATCATGGGTCACTTCCTCTTTAATATTGTCAATTTTTGTCTTTAATTCATTTATCTCTCTATTTATAGTGTTCTCTGTTTCACTTTGGTGTTAATTTAGGGCTCCTGTGAGTTCATTCATTTGTTTTTGTGTTTTCTCATATTCTTTATTTTTGTTGTCTTGGAATTTTTTGAGTGCCTCCTGTATGTTTTGGTTGACCATGTGTAATAACATCTCTATGAAGTTCTCATAGATAACTTACAGGATTTCTTCTTTCAGGGTGTTCTTGTGGGCTTCGTTGGGTTCCTTGGTATAGTTTATCTTTGTTTTGTTGGAGTCTGGATCTGGGTATCCATTTTCTTCATTTCTTTTGAATCCTGTACTAATTTATTTTTGGGGGGAGAATAGTTTCCATCCCTTTTTTGTCTTCCCATCATTCCACTTTATACTGTTTCTGTCCCTGGTCTATGTGTAATTTAGTATTAGCTAACTTACAATAGTAAAACTAACAAAACCAAGAAAGAAAGAGAAAAAAGAAAAAGAAAGAAAAAAATGGAGAACTGAAGAAATCAACAGGGGGAGATGGTGGACAATCAAACAGTGAACAAGACAAACAAACACTTAAAAAAAAAAAATTCCCGTTTCAGGAACAGTAGAATTTCAGTCTTAGTCATTCTGGTGTTACTCCTTTAGCATCCAGTCCTGTTTGTCTGCATCTCCTAGGCAGGTTTAGAGCCGGCGTCTGGAGGTGCTGGAGCCCTCCTGTTTTCTCAGTGTAAAGTGGCGTGGAGAAACTTTTTACAGGCTGGGGGTTCAGGGTTTCAGAGTTTTGTTTCTTTCCTTTTGGTTTTTTATTTGCCAAGTGTGGCTCTAGCAGGAAAGTATTCTGTTTGGTCTGCTGAAGGCTGGCAGGTGGGCAGGCAGCGGGCTGGCAGGGCAGAGGCCTGGTGGGCCAGCAGGCGGGCATCAGTGGCATGGGGGTGGCAGCCTGCCTGTTTTTTCAGTGTATTGTGGCATGGAGCAGACTTCCACAGGCTAGGGGTTCAGGGTGCTGAAGTTTCAGCTCTCCCTGGTGCTTTACCTCAGCCAAGTGTGTCTCTAGCGTCTCAGCAAGGTCCCAGATTCAAAGTTCTCGTTGTCTGCGTCTGTGTCCTAGTCACCATTTTTGTAATGATTCTTACTTAGCTCTCTTTCCTCTGTTACTAAACTGAGCATTCCTTCAGAGCAGGAAGGATCCATGCCTAATTTGCCCTTATGTCCTTAAAGACTAAACTGATATCTGGTAGATAAAGATAGCCTTGAGTGCCAATAGAGTTAGTTGAATTGAACTAAAAATACTTATCCTGTATAGTATAGAGAAGAGAGAGAGAGAGAATATATATCTTTCAGGTATTTGAAGGGTTCTCATGTGAGAAGTGAAGTTTCAGTAGACAGTCAATGAGTGGAAGCATCAAGACAGTTATAAATGCTAAGAACTATCTGAAGTGACATAGTGTGTCTCAGAACGGCACTGACTCTATTTAAGGAGATTCATGGCTCTTGGACTTTGTTTTTGTACTTTGTTCTAGATATTCCATGTATATGAGTTATTTTTGTTTTCATTTTTCATTGGAAATGAAAATACTAACCTCTTCTTTGATTTTTGTTCATAGTCAAGTTCATCCGAGAAGTAACACCATATATCAAGAAGCCATCCTTAGTATCAGATCTGCCATGGGAGGGTGCAGCTCCCCAGTCACCAAGCTTTAGTGGCAATGAGGACTCTGGCTCTCCAAAACACCAGAACAGCACCAAGGACAGGAAGGTCATCCCTCTCAAAATGTGCTTCGCTGCTAGAAACCTAAGCATGCCAGATCTGGAAAACAGGTGAGCTGTACCTAACACAGACATCCTATTTTGAGCTTTACAGAGTAAAGGACTTCCTGCAATATTACTTGACTGTCTGTTAAATAAATTACACAGAGGAAAATGTCAATTTGAAATGAGAGATTGATTTTGGAAGTTGTATTATTTACATTGTCTCACATACATGTGTGTGCGTGTATGTATATACATGTTTAATATGCATACAATTAATATATATAATTATAATTATATAGAATATGAAAAAATTTGGACAGACACACAAGAATCTGTTGATGGTAGTTACCCCCTGGGAAGTGAAATGAGAGTAGAGTAGTAGGAAAACAGAGGTTTCTTTTCTACTCTTCATTTTATACCTTTTTGTAGTGTTATTGCTACTTTTTACTACCATGAATATGCATTACTTTTGAACTGGGAAAAAAAAAAGTTTTGTTTGTTTTGTTTTGTTTTGTTTTGTTTTTTGAGATGGGGTTTCACTCTGTTGCCTAGGCTGGCCTTTAAACTCATAAGCTCATGAACTCCTGTGGCTCACACCTGTAATCCTAGCTACTCAGCAGGCAGAGACCAGGAGGATCATAGTTCGAAACCAGCCTGGGCAAATAGTTCTGGAGACTGTCTCAAGAAAGCCACCACATAAAAGGCCTGGTGGAGTGATTCAAGGTGTAGGCCCTGAATTCAAACTCTAGTACTGCAAAAAAAAAAAAAAAAAAAAATCTTCCTGCCTCAGCCTCCCAAGTAGCTGGGAATAAACTTCATGCCACAATGCCTGGTTTAGGACAAAAATTCTAAATGTTGCATTTATAAGGAAATTTCTCTCTCTCTCTTTTTGGGATTGAATCCAGAGTCTTGCAGGAAATGTCTTATATATTGTGGATTGTGTTAAGTGTCAGAGATCTGCATTATAGATCTGGCTGTATCAGCTAGCAATGTGACCCTGCCATGTTAGCTTTTCTTTTTTTTTTTTTTTTTTTAAGAAAAGTTTTAAATATTTAATATAGAACTGACAAGTGACACATACTCATCATTGGATGTTTAGCTGTGAAAAAATAACCAGAAAAATTCTAAGAAAATGATATATTCCTCAAAGACTTGTTCTCTTTGTATTGATCAAATTCATTTTCAGAGACCAGGGTAGAGACCTGCTCATAAATCAGACTGTCTGATAACCCATTCCAAAGTACTCTCTTTTTTCTGTTGTCTTGGTATTTTGCTATACCAATTAGTAGGCAAGAAGAAGGGAGGGAAGGAAAAATATTTATTGAGTACCTACAATGTTCTGTTCTGGCATTCACTATGCTTTCATTCATCTAGTTCATATAGAAACCCTGTGAAGTGTATCTGTGGTGTTTAAATCTTGCAGATTAGGAAACTGATGCTCAGTAAAGTTATTATGGAAATGAAATTGCCCAAGGATACCCAGCTAGTAAGCACCTTCTCCAGGAATCAACATGGGTCTGACTTTAAAGCCTTGTCTTTCTGCCTTACTGCACATATGTGGGCCTCAATTAGGACTTTAATATTTTTTTTCTGTGTCAGGTTAATTGTAATAATCACATTCTACTTCTAGACACACAGTTTCTACCTTTGCAGGAGTCTGTCTTAACCAGTTCAGTGTTCACAAATAATTCAACTGAACTCATTTCTTCTGAGAACTGAAATTATTTGGTCCCAGTTCCAAAGGGGACAGACACCTTTTTTTCTGCAGATGGGATTTAGGTTGTTTACACAAGACATCCCACATACTGCATTGGACAACATGGTGGCCAAAAACCTGCCATGAGTAGGAACCATACACTTCAGATTGCACGGCTAAGCTTGCATGTGTAACATGTTTCAGAGCACATATTTGGTCATTAATTCTTTTTAAAAATATTTTAATAAGCATATATTAATTATGCAAAGGGGCTTCATTATGATAATTCCATACATGCACACAGTGTACTTTGATCAAATTTATCTCCCCTATTACTCTTCCTCATCCCCCTCCCCTCCCATGTTAGCTTTTCTTGACCTAAGTTTTCTCTTTTACAAAATGAAAGAGTTGGATTGGTTAAGTTCTAATTTCCCTTCTAGTTCTATAACCATTTGTGTTTTGTGACTTTGTTTACATTAATTCTGTGAAAAGGAATTGGTAGACCTAATGTTAGTTCAGAGACTGTGGGGGATCTTTTTAAAAACTTGTCCAAGAACATAGTTAAAGGGAGGCTTTTTGTAAAGTGCTTTCATTGTTATGGTCTCTTCTGATCTGAATGCACAGCCAGGTGCCTAAGCAGAGTGCAATGGAACACAGAAGACAGCAAGAAACTGAATAACCTTCTTGGGCATTTAAGGGCATAGAAACATTAAAACATCTGTTTGGAGTATGTTATGTGCTCTGCTGGAAACAGCTGAGCTCTACAATCCGACAGTCCTTGTTTTGAAGCCCCATTAGATCACCTGCTCAAAGTCAGGCTCTGAGAAAGTCCCTTTAGCTTCATACATCACCATGTCCTCATCTGTAAAGCGGGGATAATAATACTTAGTACAGAGTGCTGATTAAATGAGATAATATGTGTGAAGCCTCTTGCACAGAGCCAAACACATAGTACGTTCTCAAGGATAGTAGCTTAAAAAGTCTTAACTGAAGCTAGGTGCTGTTGGTTCATGCCTGGAATCCTAGCTACTTGGGAGGCTGAGATCAGGAGGATCACAGTTTCAGGCCAGCCTGAGAAAATAGTTTGTGAGAGTCCCCATCTCCAAAATAACCTGAGCAAAATGGACTGGAGGTGTGGTTCAAGTGATAGAGCACTAAACCCTGAGTTCAAATCCTAGTTTCACTAAAATAAAAATATAGTCTTAACTTATGGTGATTTACACCTTTATTCCCAGCACTAGGAAGATCACAAGTTCAAGGCTGGCATGGGCTACATAGTGAGGGGGAGGAAGAAAAGGAAAGGGAAGGAGGGAGGGAGAAAGGAAGGAAGGAAGGAAGAAAAGAGCAGAGAACAGACTTAACTAAATTTGTCAACTAGTGCCAGGCAGCCACAGACAGTAAAAACACTAAGCTCCTTCGTTATAAATCATTTCTGTGAATGATGCCTGCAGTGCTGCTGATATAACTGGATATTGGAGAAAATAGTGAAGTATTATAATTTCTGTAGGTTGTGGGAATGAGGAAAGAAGCAAGGAAGAAGACAATATGATTTGGCTGTACAGCTAAATGTTGTGCTAACTTTATCATCCACTAAGATGTCTTTTAGAACCCAGTCACCCTCACCTTTCTCACAACTTGGTATTCTGTTTGGTATATGCTGAAGTCATTTTGTAATAGTCAGATTTGAAAGAGGTCCTCAGAACCAAATGGAGAGGGTACTTTTTGGTTGCAAGAATTGCACCACACCTTTCTTTTCAGTAAGATGATCCGTCTACTTGACCATGGCATGCTGTACAAGGAAAGGTCTTAGAAGAGCTAAGTTAGTGCAGAGATTCTCAGTCTTAATGTTCCTAATTCTACTTGAAATACTAAATTTTGCAAATGATTTGCTTTTGTAAAATAGAAATTAGAAATTTATAGAGGAAATTCAAGATTATTTCTATGAGGTTATCACTTTAACTTTCACTCCAGTGTGCTTTTTAGAGAAGCAGTAGAATTACAATAAATTGGCAGGAATTATGCATAACTTTGCTTATACCTACCAGGGATATGAACATCTGTCCTACCTACTTGTCTTGGAATTAAAAAACGTGCAGAACCATTGACTAATCAGACCTCAATTATGAGAGCGAGAAAATGGAAGTTACGAAGACGGGTTTTGTCACTTTGACCAAGCTATTTATTTTCCATGTGCCTCTATTTTCTTCTGTACGAAAGAAAGATTATAAGAAGAATAAATTAAGAAATTATGGTAAAAGCACAATAGGTGCTGTTAGTGTCCTTGTGTCCTGAAATTAGTTCTTTGTCTGTTCTGTTTTCTGTCTATAAAATGAACATAATGCCTGCTCAACTATAACTTTTTAGACTTCAAGGATAAATAGATATCTATAAAATCATCATGTTTAGTTTTAAAAGAAACTACCACTGTTCCAAAATAATGCTATTTTATGTTCTCTCCAACAATAATCCACAATGTATAAGAGTTTCCTTTGCCTCACATCCTTTCCATCAGTATTGTTGGTTCAGTTTTTTTCAGCATTAACTATTTTGGTGACTGTGTTGCAGAATATCTTTGTGGTTAATCTTCATTTTTATGTAAAGACTTCACTTTCTAAACTAAACGCTTATGCTTATTTTATATTTATATTAGAAGGAAACTTTTCCTTTTTTTTTCTTTTCTTTTTTTTTTTTTTTTCTTCACTACTTAGATTTAGTTACATTATACAGAGCTGGAAAAACAAAAAGTGCTGATCATCAGAATGAGTAAGGGGAAGAAAGTTTACTTCCTCTCCCCACATTGAGTTTTCACAATCTCACTAGATGCTTCTGATAATTATAATTGTTCCTTCTGCAACATGAAAACTAAATAAATAAGGAGAGAACATGAGCCCATTCCTTAGCAAACAATATGTGGGCAATGTGAAATTAAGCGAGAATAAGGTATTCCTAAATGCTGTTTTTCGGAAATGTAAGTCTGAGTCCTTTGCACTGGTTCACAGTGTCTCTATCATCATGCTGGCTGTTTTCCATATGAAAGGTAAATTTTGGCTTTATGATGTATAAAATCATATGATTATTACTAAATTGAACATGAATTACTAAATTTGACATGAATTATGTCAAAGACTTTACCAAATAGAAAAAACAATGTAGGGTGGACTTACAGAATCCTATGCTTCTGTGTACCTAAATATTGACTTGATTTGTCTGGTCAAAGTGAAATTGCATTTCTTAGGAAATTCTCAGTGGTTTGACTAGAGGCCAAAACTTTTCACATGGTAGCTGTCTTCTCTGTCCTGTGGGCCCTTTTACTGGCAGATTGCCTCCATGTTTTTTATTAGGGGAGTTCTCATTTCTGTTTTTCTTTCAA